TCTCCAGCAGACACCTTAGCCCTAATTCTACTACACAGAAACATAGAGGAACATGGCAGGAAGGCAGCATAGTCTGGGGATCAAGAGATTGGGCTCTGACCTTACTCAGATATCCAGGCAAGTTCCTTCAGGATTCTGAGCTCTTTCTTTATCCACAAAATGGGGATGATCAATACTTGTTTCATGGGGCTGCCGTGAGAATTTAGTGAAAGAATGCTTGTAAAGGAACTGGCACAAGTTTGTGGAAGGAAGAGAAGAATCTTGGGGTTGTTTGAGTTGATGGGAAAAAAGAGAACACAGAACTGATAACCAAATACATGATTTCAACAAAAGGCCAAGTATTTCTTAATTTCGTCTGATTCATTATTTCTCACAGTCACAGTCTAAGGAGGGTGCTCATTTTAACTTTCTCCATGTGGAGATGGGTTGTACTGGTCGTGGGGACCATCTGTGTGACCTCTCTTTGGTGAAGAGTAAGAAATGAGTTAGAGCTACTTGGGCTCAGAGATAATACAGAATTGCTTTTTACTCCCTGTCTTGAAAAGGATGGAAGATAGAGAGGAAAGAAGATTGTTAACAGAAACTTGAAATCCAGATTCTTTCTAAAGTACATCTCAGCTTTGTGACCTCAAATGACCTCTCAACATCTCAATTGACTCTTTACCACAGGTTATTGAGATGACCACATAACAGCCACTTTGCATGAACTATTTTATTTCATCATCAGATAAACATGCCAGATATGACCATCCCATTTTAGATGGAGAAAACTGTGGTTCAGAGAAGTCAAGTAAGTTGTCTTAAGGTCACATAGCACACAACTCAGAAGTGACAGATCTGTGACTTAAAACCAGGTATGACACCAAAGTACTTTCCAGTATACCCCAGGTAGATTCTGTTTTTTTTTAGGTAAAACTTGTGCAATTTGGGGGTGCCCTCTTTAAGAAAAACAATACAGAATCACAAATATAAAGATACAAAAGTGAATGTATTTATTTAGAATTTGAAATGAAGTTACAATATGCTAGAAAAAAAATGAAAGATAAAATATCACAAAATCCTGAAAAATAACATAATGTGTGTTTTACCTGCTTGACAATCCTCTTTAATACCCTTATTTATACCTTATTTTCTTATATCTTATTAAATATTATTAAATATTTTCTTATTTTGGTTGCATATTCATATGACAATGGTCATGTAATATTTTCCATAAGAAAATAAAAAAGATTGGCATAAAGGGGGGAAGAAATAAAAAAGATAACCTAGTGTTCCACTAGTGTGACTCATTGGAAGTTAGTTATTTTTTTTTTTTAAAGATTTATTTATTTATTATACAAGCGCTGGGTACAGTCAGAAGTGCGGGAGGGTGAGAGAATTCACCAGAGCCAGAGCGGGGAACAGAACAGGCAGACTGATGAAACACACTGCTGAGGGGAGCAGCGGGCGCAGCAGGAGAGGTCTGCGTGCCATGTGGGACCCTCGCTGGCGGCCAGGGATCGAATCGGTGCTACAGAGGCTGCGGGCAGCTTTGCAGCCCAGCGCTCAACCGCTGCGCCACCAGGGGAGGCCCAGAAAGTTATTATTATTATTATTGATAGTTTAGAAAAGTTTTATCTCAGTGTCACAAGGCATTATTGGAAATGTCATAAATTTTAGGCTAGTTATGAAATTTGGGGAAACCTCCATCAAACATTCTTCATATAAGATTCATAAGATGGTTGGGGCATGACATGTTTTTCGGTACAGTGATTCACCTAAAATAGTCTTCGAGTGGGTGACACTTATCTTATTTGCTGTAGGCTACATGTTATCTCCCTTGACATCAGTATTTTTCGAATTAGCAAAGAATTCTAATCTTTTCCAGTACAGCTTCCCCTTTCCTACCACTTGAGATGGAATGAAGATTGGTTATGTTAATAAAGACTCATAATTTTAACTCTTTTCTCATAAATCTATGACCTTTTAAAGGGAATTCATTACAAAATACCAGATTCAAAAGCATTTGAAACTTTTGGATGATTTGGCCTAGAAAGGGGAAGGATGGAGGAAACAATCACCTTCAACCTTGGTGGGTATGGAGTCTTGCATTAGAATCACTAGGTGTATCAGGGATCCAGGGAGGGGCTGGGGTAGCTGCCAGTTAACAGGTCCTGTAAGTCACTTTGAGTAGATCGCCCTGAAGTGGATTCAAAGGATAATAGAGAAATCTATGATGAGAACAGCTGAAAAACACCTCCCCCTAAACTCACCAGAGTCCAGCACTTGCTATGGGAGCTGATTAGAAAAGCAGAATCTTAGGCCCCACACAGAACTGCTGAATCAAAATCTGCATTTTCACCAAGTCCCTGGTGATTCTGTGCAGGTGGTTGTCTGAAATGCCCTGAACTAGAGACCTAAGCAGGAACTTTATGATGTGCCCCACCCAGGCTTGGCAGTTGGGCTTCTTCCTCTCTGTGTCCTTAGCCTTGGGAACTGACCTCTCTTCTCTAGTCATCCACTGTGTTCATTCATTACATCTCTGTCTCTCCCCACATGCATGCATGGACACACACACACACACACACACACACACTGGACTTTGAACTCTGGAGAGCTGAGATCAATTCCTCTTGTATTTCCAGCCCCTCATGGTGTCTGACACACAGATGTCATTTATGGAACATCCCCGGTATGCCAAGAACTTCACCTCTCTTTCCCTCTTTGCTTATAGGCTGAAACAGACTCTCCATTTTATAGATGCTGAAACCGAGGCTCCATCACTTGCCAGGGGTCAGAAATGGTAGAGCTGGGAATCCAGGGATGTGTGATTCCAAAGTCTTCAGTAGGGGATCAGCAAAAGTTTGTTGAATCACATTTTTTTTTAAAAGATTTATTTATTTATGCATACAAGAGCTGGGGTACAGGCCAGAGATGCGAGGGGTGAGAGGATTCACCAGAGACAGAATGGGGAACAGAACAGGAAGATTGACTGAAGTATACTGCTGAGGGGAACAGTGGGCGAGTCAGGAGAGTTCTGCTGCACCATGTAGGTTGCTCCCTGGCTGGCCGGGAATTGAACTCATGCTGCAGAGGCTGCAAATTGCTTCATAGTACGGTGCTTAACCCCTTGCGCCACCAGGGAGGCCCCTGTTGAATCACATTTTGATTTGGTTATTTATTCAAGCTTTCATTAATGTTCTTTTTTTTTTGAGATTTATTTATGTATATAAGAACTGGGGTTGAGGCCAGAGGTGCGGGGGTGGGGGTAGGTAAGGGGATTCACCAGAGACAGAGTGGGAAGCAGAACAGGCAGATGGACCAAAGACACTGCTGAGGGGAACAGAGGGTGAGACAGGAGAAGTCTGCTGGGCCATTTGGGTCAGCTCCCTGGCCGGCCTGAGATCAAACTCGATGCTGCAGAGGCTGCATATAGCTTCACAGTGTTGTGCTTAACCCCTTGCGCCACCAGAGAGGCCCCTTAGTGTTCTTATTTATTCAATAAAGAGACTTAGGGGTAGATGAAGACGAGCAGTAGAGCTGCTTCTCCTTGGGGATCTCTTTGGAACAGGAGCTACCTGGTGTCAGCCTCCCAGGAGCAGGGAGCTGGGCTACCCAGGAGGCTCCCTGGTCTGTCCAGCTTGGTGGCTCTGCTGCCCTGGGAGCTGGGAGGTGATACTCCTCCACCACCCCTCCCCTTTCAAAATGTCCTCCATGACTCAGCAAAGAAACCATGGATCAGAAATCAGAGATGAGACCAAAAACAAACCAAAAAAAACCCTCAAAAATGTTTTCTTTTCTTGGAGGAATTTCCCTTTCATGTCACTCATTCCTCTGCCAGGGAATCCAGGAAGCCTTGGGTTTGTGGTCAGCTGTGACCCCCTATCTGGTTACTCTGGAACTCGCCCCTTCTATTCTGGACTCCTTCCCAGGCCTGGGGACAGCACAGAGTCTTTTCCTTCCCCAGTCTCTAATTGCAGGACCTGCCCATCCCCAGTTTCTTGATATTGTGTTCAATCATTATGATGGAGGACAAGAATAGAAAGAGGACCTCCCCGATGGTGCAGCGGTTGAGCGCTGGGTTGCGAAGCTGCCCGCAGCCTCTGCAATGCCGGTTCGATCCCTGGCTGCTGGGTGAGGGTCCCACATGGCGTGCAGACCTCTCCTGCTGCCCTCTGCTCCCCTCAGCAGTGTACTTCGTTGGTCTGCCTGTTCTGTTCCCTGCTCTGACTCTGGTGAATTCTCTCGCGCTTCTGACTGTACCCAGTGCTTGTATAAATAAATCTTTAAAAAAAAAAAAAAAAGAATAGAAAGAAATTACACCCTGATCCTGGACCCAGATTATCTGGGTTCAAATGCTGTCTCTACCTTTTAGCTGTGTGACCTTGGGCAAATCATTTCTCTGGTCAGGACCTCCGTTCCTTCTCTGTAAAGTAGGGATAACAATAAATTTGAAGATTAAAATAATTCATTTATCTCGCATATTTAGAACAATGTCTGACACAAAGTAATTGCTCTATAACAGCTGTTCTTATTATTAATTATTTTTTAATATCTGGAGGAGAAATGCTTAACTTCTTTCAGTTGTTCTGGTCACACCCCAGAATTTGTGTGAATTCTCAATTATTCATGCTGTAGGGAGCATAAGAGGGCAACTGCAAATGAGTGAATAAATTAATAAATTAGGAAGCTTTGGCTTGCCCTCTGAAAATGAGATTATTGTAATGGATGAAGAGGCGTGACTCAATAGATTGTTGATTTGGGAATGACCACATTCATTCTAGCAAGGGAGTAGCCCTCTGAGAATTTCCAAAGATGGGGTAAACAGATTCCTTACTATGGGGTAGTTTACTGATTGATCAATTTAGTATAAAGATAACACAGGCAACAGGGGAAGCAAGAGGAACTCCAGAACTAGAGGGGGACTTGTGATTCTCAGCCTTGGATGCGTTTTAGAATTACCTGGGCATAAACATTCATAACATACTGTGAACCTCACACCTAGATATTCTGATTTCCAGGTCTAACAAGCTGACCAGGTGACCAGGAATGAAGCCAAGCAGTAAACGGAGACACCGTAATTTCAACAGCACATACTTTAACCTGGACATCATAGGTATGTTTCCCTCACCTTTGTAACCATCCCTCCGAGGCAGCTTATTTTACCCCCATTTTATAGGTAAAAACACTGAGGTTTAAGTAATTTGGGCCAGGTCACACAGCAGAGCCTGTATTTTATCTAGGTGGGAGTCTAAAGAACTAAAGGACTAAAGTATTTGCCACACAGCAGGAGGTGGGCCTGGAAGAAACTTCCCAGAATTGAAATTAAGGTTGCAAACTATAAAATTGATCCATTATAGGTCTGCGCAAAGATATGCAAAACTGATTTAAAGAGTCACAAAGGCTCCTGGAGTGGAGGAAGGCTTGACCTTAACCCTTGCCCTCTATTAACATATCTAAAGAAGAAATGTGTCAGTGGGGGTGGGAGGGTACTTGGGTCTGTTAGTGAGAGGCTCACTGGGATGAGGGAGGGGTCCTGGCCCCTTTGGACCCCTGACAGCATTATGGTTTAGCCTCAACTCTTCCCCTCGCTTCTGTTCTCTCCCGACCTCTTTGGCCTAATGGGACTCCTCTTTAACACTTACCCCTTAAATATATGTGTTCTTTATGTTCCACTATCCCCATATTGCCAGTTTGGGGCTCCAAGTCTATGCCCAAGACTTAGGTGCCTACTCCAGAAATCCATACTTGGGGCTCAGATGGATAAAGAGAGGGTGTCATAAGACCTGACAGGACTTCACATCCCAGCTGGTCCCCTTTTTGGCTGTTAGAAGTCACTTTATGTTATTTTTAGACTCAGTTCTTTCCCTGTGAGTGGGATAATGATTACCTTAAATGATTGTTGAGAGGATGAAAATAGACAATAGGTATTCTAAACATACACATTTATAGTAAGAACTCTGGATGGCTCCTATTATGTCAGCCTGGCGTAGGACATCACTTGTATTGTCCATGGACACTTCAAAAGCAACATGTCGGCCTCCCCGGTGGCGCAGCGGTTGAGCGCTGGGTTGCAAAGCTGCCCGCGGCCTCTGCAGTGCCAGTTCAATCCCCGGCTGCTCCCCGGCCACCAGAGGAGGGTCCCATATGGCGCGCAGACCTCTCCTGCCGCCCGCTGCTCCCCTCAGCAGTGTACTTCGGTCCTTCTGCCTGTTCTGCTCCCCACTCTGGCTCTGGTGAATTCTCTCACCCTCCCGCGCTTCTGACTGTACCCAGTGCATGTATAAACAAACAAACAAACAAACAAACAAACAAACAAACAAATAAATAAAACATGCCTCTATTAAAAAAAAAAAAAAAAGCAACATGTGAAATAGAGAACTCTTTCCCCTAAATCTGTGCTTCCACTTAGATTCCTAATCAGAGGTAACAGAAACCCTTTCCATCCAATTGCCCAAGTCAGATTCCCTTCAGCCTTCCCAGAATACCCCTCCACCACCATCCAGATGCCGCTGATACCCAGCCAGCCCATCTTCTGCATTTCTTCCATTGTCTCAACTGCCCTTGGAATTTCTCACTAGATCATCCCAAAAATCTCTTACCTAATCTCTATACTTACTCCTTCCCAAACTTCACATGTTTATGCCCTCAGGTTCTGGCCCCATTAAAACACTTTCACACATGTCTGTTGCCTTTGAGCACAGGCCCTTGGTGATCTACTTGCAGCCACCAAACCCTTCATGATCTGCTCTCCCTGCCTGTCCAGCCCCCGTTCCTGCCACCACCCTCTCTACCTGCCTGAACCACATACTAAATCTGCCAGATTTATACATGCACAATGACACAAGGATTGGAGCAGGTATCCTCTCTCAAGGCTTCTGTCTTTCCAATAAGACACCGGAACCCCATGAGCCTCAACTCTTGGGCATCTCTGGGTTCCAGGTACGTGGCAGGCTCTCAGTTGGAGGCCCTCCTAATAGGATTACCTCATATTGATGTAGTTTTTGGAGTTAATGGGTTTGGAGTGCAGGGTCCTTGGGTTCATTCTGGGAAGGTTTTTACCAGAACTCCGCTTTCAGCAGCACACAGTGAGTTTCCCAGGCGAAAACCTGTTAAACTCCCAAAACTACATCAATGTGGACCAGTAGTGTGGGACTAGCACCACTCTAACTGCTTTGCATCCTCACAACACTATGGAGGAGGTGTGCTTCATTCCTAATTCCACTGTATTTATTGAACATCCTCTCTGGCCAAGCCCTGATCCAGGCTCTAGGGACATGGCAGGGTCAGGAGGATGGGAAAGGCTAGAAGGTGGGGTGAGGGGGGTCTCTCTTTTATCTAGGAAGGTCAGGCACTAAAAGGTGAAAACTGAGCAGAAACCTGAGGGAAGAGGGGATGGAAGATGTGTGGGTTTCTAGGAAGAGTACTCCAGGCAGAGGGAATGGCCAGGACAGAGATTATTAGCCCCATTTGGCAGATAAGGACACTCAGAGTCTGGAAATCATCTCTAGTCACAGAGTTGGGTTTCAAGCCTAAGTTCTGTACCTCTTGACTTACTGTTAGCCATGACTCTCCACTGTCTTTTGGGCCACCGTGGGGTCTTTGATAAGGGGTCTGTGTTCGTCATGAGGCACTCTGGTTGCGGTGTTCTTCCTGTGGCAAGAGAACATGGGCCTATTGGTCATTGGCTTGTGATTCAGATTCACTTGGTGGCTCTGTTTTTGTTTTGTGGATCTGTTTTTGTGGCCTTTATTGGAGACAGCTTGTGTCTACTTCCTAGGCAGCCTCAAAAGCACACTTCTTCTGCAAAGCTGGGGGCCAGATCCTGAAATATTATGACTTGGATAAAGCAAATCCCCTGATACTGGTCAGTAGTCAGAATGGTGTCTGTGGGCTATCACGGTATCTCACTCCACACCGCTCTTCAAACTTCAGCCAGGAGAACTGAGGTGAGCTTTGCAGAGTGGTATTTTGATATTTCAGCTGGCCTTAAAGGAGGTGGGCGGGGCGGAATATGCAGAAAGGTGGGGATGGGGTGTGTTTAGGCAGAAAGAAGCATATGAATGGAACAGAAGCATCAATGCCAGACCATTCAGTGGAGTAGAAGGGGGTGGAAGAGTGTTGGGGGAGGGGAGATAAGTCTGGAGAGAGAATTTTGGGTAGATCATGGGAGCCTTTTTTTTTTTGTAATGGCAAACTATCCATTTTGGATAAGTGGTCTGGATTTTATCCTGTCTACATAGGGGTCTTAAGATTTTAAGAAGCAAGGAAACTCATGTACATTGCTGAAGATTCTAGAATGCTTGGGCAGTAGCCGGGAGCATAGACAGAGTGATTGGAGTGAGAAGAGATGACTGAGCCAGTCCAGGTGTTAGATGGGAGCCCCTCAGCACTGGCTAAAGGGACCAGCTTCTAGCCATTTTGAAAATGGAGGTGACAGATTCTGCTTACAGGTTTGTATGGGAACTTAGAGCAGTGGTTGAGAAAGAATGCCCGCATTTTTAGCTTGGGTGACTCAGTGGAACAGTGTAACATAAAAGAGGAGGAACAGGTTTTGAGTATCTTGTGCTAAGGCATCTGTGTAACATCCAGGTGGGGAAGTTTGGGATGGAGGTCAGAGTTGGGGATATGTGAAAGTTGAGGCTGAAAAACTCTAAGGTGTGCTTAAGAAGAGAAAGCAAGAGCTTTAGCTTAAATCCTGGAAGAAGCTCCCAGTTTTAGAGGTCTTTGGAGGAAGAGGAGGCAGGGAAAGAACTGTGGAGTATTTTGATTACGGAGGGTATTGCTGCCTATTTGTCACTCCTCAGCATCTGATGATAGGCAATGAAACCACATCTCATGGGGTGCACGCAGGTGACCTAGTTGGGGGTTATACTCTCCGAGGCCCTCAGATGTCAGGGGTGCTCTGGTCAGTCTGGGCTAGTTTACATGGCCGTGGGTGGGCTGTCTTCTTCCTCCACACACGACCAAGGAGCAGGGACTCTGGTGTCTCTCATGTTATTCTCCAGTCTAGGGCTTTGCACACAGTGGGGTAAGAACACTAACTAGTGAGGTGATTGAATGACAGAGCAGAATGGGTGGCAGTGGTCAACTTGGTCCACTGCTTCTCCTTGACTCCCTTCCTAACATCTGTCTCAATTTATGGAATATGTATAATTTACTCTCTGAATTTTAGTTGCTTCAGGCTTGCTCCATTCATTGGTCTCTTCCTCCCTCCCTCCTTCTCAATTCTGGTATCAGAATTTTACCTGTGTAAATACTAAAAGTTGAGAACTTTCAACATGGGGGTGGGGGTGGGGGTTGCGGGTGCTCCCAGTACTGTCATGCATTATCTAACATAACTAGCCTCTGGGCTAGGCATTACTATCCTGTTTTGTAGATAAGAAATAAGGTCACTTTTGCCAGGTTACACAGCAAGTAAGTGGTAGAGTTATAGAGGTGGGGTTTGTCAACTCAAAAGCCTCCTTGCTCTCCATCAATCATATTAAGGCCTCCCTACGTAGAAAATAACATATAATTTATTATTCAAACTGGAATGCTTTAAAGATGATTCTTTTTTTTTTTTATAGAGGCATGTTTTATTTATTTGTTTGTTTGTTTGTTTTGTTTTGTTTATACATGCACTGGGTATAGTCAGAAGCGCGGGAGGGTGAGAGAATTCACCAGAGCCAGAGCGGGGAGCAGAGCAGGCAGAAGGACCGAAGTACACTGCTGAGGGGAGCAGCGGGCGGCAGGAGAGGTCTGCGCGCCATGTGGGACCCTCCTCCAGTGGCCGGGGAGCAACCGGGGATCGAACCCGCGCTGCAGAGGCCGCGGGCAGCTTCGCAACCCAGCGCTCAACCGCTGCGCCACCGGGGAGGCCCCAAACTGGAATGCTTTAAAAAAATTTAATTGAGATATGGTTTTCATCCCATAGAATTTACTTGTACAAAATGCACTTTTCAATGGTTTTAGTATATTTACTGACTTGTGCAATCACCAGAATATAATTTTAGGACAGTCCCATCATCCCCAAAAGAAACACAGTAACCATTAATAGTCACTCCCCTTTACCACTACCACCCCAGCCCTAGGAACCAATAATCCATTTTCTGTCAGTATATTTGCCTACTGCAA